TCGTCAGGATCAGCTTTCGTTGTATAGGGCTTGACGTGCATGATGACACAATCGATCTACACCCATATGCCAACTGTGGATGAAACATCGTAGCGCAAGCTGTGAGCGAGGCACACCAACACATAGGGAAAAGACCCACACTACCGAGTTGCCAATGATAACTGCCTTCTTCATTCCAACGCTCGTTGAGAAAACCACCATATCGTCTCTTACCTCGAATCTTTACACTTTAGACACACGCTACGCTCCCCGACCACCCACTACTCAATTTCTAGACAACAGTAAAGCGTATTTGTGTGGTGGGCCACAGGCTCAACCATTCATACGTGAGGTGCATCCATTCAATATGAACCAAGCACCAGTTACTCTACCTCAGGAACAGGCATGACTAGGCAGCTAAGTGCTTAACAGACTGTTTCACATTCGTACAACAGCACAACTGGACTGTAAGATGGTTGACACTTTGACGAAGACGAGCAGAGGACGGTGGGAGAGAGATGGATACTTCCGCATCGCCCGTATTCCTCGAAAGTATTGCTAGAGATGGTTTTAATCATGACATTTGGTAATGGATAATTGTTTCATGGATGAAATAGTCAGGAAATGCAGCATAACGAATGGGATTTTTGAATCAAAGAAGTGTCACAAGATGAGACAGAACTGAGTGGCATCATTATTACTAATACTCCAGCACCACAACTATACCATAAGGAGATAATTGCGTATGCGGTAGCATCTTGGAACTTAGTCACCTTAGTCACTTACAACCTCGTATAAGATGCGGAAAGCTGAGTCACCGCAAAATACCGCAGTCACAATAAGGAGAGCGTCAAATGCGACAAAACGCAGAAGGCACGACCAAGCAATTTAAAACCAAAAACCAAATTCTAAAATTAGTGACACTAGCAACAGAGGTAGCAACTAAAATTTTGATGCCTTCCGGACTAACACTTCCACTAGCATCATAAACACATGGCAGCCGTTGCCATAAACTGGTCATGCCTTTAATTACGACTGATTGGATCACAGCAACATCTGAGTTCGATAGTTCAGTATCCCAGCTGCTGCTTTTATAAGTAACAAAACACCTCATATGCTATTCCACATTTCTTTAAAATCGGCGAAGATGCTAAGTATCAGTGCTCAATGAATGCAAGTTGAGACAGAGTGAGATTAAAAAAAGGAAGATAGGACCGTTTGATAGTTTCAATTAAGAAGTGTGCACATGAGTACGGTAAACTCCGGGGCAAGACATCGAGTAACTGGGCGGAATAGATAAATAAACGCTTTGATTAAGAATAAGTCTATGAGAATTCAAAGCAATTTTCGAATGCCAAAACTAATCGTGGTAGACCGTAGAACAGATCAGAAGTTTTTGAGAAAAGAATCGAAAACTCACGAGAAGGGTTAAATATGACCGAGAACGTGAGCGTTCGAGTTGCGGCAGTTCCAGGCGATTGTCGGTTGGAGCCAAGTACTAAAGATGCAAGTAGGGATGCCAATTGAGCCAAGGAGAGTCCTTCCACACTTGCCTGTTGTAGCGCCAGCAACTGATCGCCTCGTCGCAGCGCCGGTCGAATTGCATAACCATCTGCTCCTCCTTCATCAGCGCCAATACCAAATTCTCCTGCTTGGTTTACGAAGATGCCAAACTCCCCCTGACCGCCGACCAACACGCAGGGCAATACAATATGACAGGTGGAGGAGGGAGCCACTACTAGGGTTAAGGTCACTGGAATAGTGCGAGAGTGCGCACGGGTAGAACAGGCGAGATGAAGGAGGCGGCGATTGCCACTGTCGCGTTGGAGGAGGTCACTGAAAGCCTCCAGGAAGTGCAACATCGCAGGACGGTCATAAAAATCAGTAGGGTGATTATGCACCCACAACACTACATATCGTTGAATGCGGGAACGCAAAATGCGGTCAGAGGGCGACGCCTCCTCCCACCACGTCAAAAGACGGCGCACTAGCAGTGCAGGCGTCGGTAGAAAGGTGCGGTAGGTAAGAAGTAGATCCTCCGGGTAACTAGGATCGCTTGGTTCTGGTGATTTCAAGTGGTCGATGAGCTTCTCTGGTGTACCCTAATTGGAGAAAACCAAAAAGCAAAGCCTTACCTCTCACCGAATCATCCACATGCGATGCCATTGATATCAAAGAGCATATTGGTGTGATACAAAACGTAAGTAAGCTTCTGTTTCATTGTAACTTAGACATCAAAGTTTTGGCGAATTTACATACACATATTGGAGAGGAATAAAATTTGATTCATCGAAGCACGATAAATCAACAATGATTTCAAGGCTCAAATAGTGATGGGGAGTATAATGACGCAAGCATCTCACCTTAATGACAACGCGTGAGATAATCGCAGAGGAGGAGGAAGATGGTGCAAGAGATGCGACTTCAGCATCGGTTGAGGTGGGACCAGCGTCCTTGCGAATGTCTTCGTAGACAAGAACCACTCGGCCGCCATCCTCCTCTACCTCCGGCACCTCAGCATCTGCAGCTTGCGCCATGATGCGGAAGTAGTCGGCCTGAGCAACGCATACGAATTGGCAGTCCTCCGTCACAGTGCGCATTTGTCCTCGGTGGCGTTGCACCGCCAGTGCGCCTCCACTCATCCCACCGTCTGGGCTCGGTGGTGGTAGGCGAACTCCGAAAGCATCACCACTTGTCAGTTCCCGAATAGTTCCGTCTGGATCAACAACCTGCATAAACCCGATGTTAAGGAGTAAAATTTGTTTTGTAAAGGATCGGGTTTATTAAAATTTTCAATATTTAAAATGTTGCATCAGACCTAAAGCTAGTTCTCAATGAGTGAAATTTCATGCAAGAGTTTATTTTGAAGAAGTCTATACCTAAACGAATTCATTTTGATATCGCAGCAGATTAGGATGATGAAAATCAGAACTTCTAGGTATCGATAGGTTATTTTAAATGCATATTGCTTTAGTTATAGTCCATGAGCCAAAGAACTAAGAGCTTATTGAGGCCCAAATTAATTTTAGACCCAAAGTAATAGACAAAATGTCTTGAACAGTGTCAATACTACGAACCTTGCAAATAAACTACAGCCACAAAATTGCAGGTACATAAAGCCCTAAACAACAACTCAGGTTTGAGGAATTACTACGTCTCTATCCAAAAAGAGAGGGCTCACCTCAACAGTTCCGTTAAGGATGACAGACCACGTATCGAGAATTTCGCCATCGGATAGGACCACTTGGCCGGCCTCGCGTACCACTGCAACTAGCATAAGGCGACAGAGAGCAGCCCGTGTGCCCTCAGACAGGTTTGAGAAGGCCTATCCAAAAAATGAAGTGAGGAAGACAACATAATGCTGATCATTTGGACTAGTTAAGTCTAAGTATCCTTTTGACATGCGCGTCTGAACGTGTTTTAGGTGTCAAAAGCTTCAACACAGGTAGAAGCACAACCTAAACGTTGTCGTATTCTAAGCTCTAATTTCTTTGAACAAACTTTCAAGAGCGCATCAGTAGCAGCGTTGTGAAATTCCAAACTTTCCGTTCATCAACACTGCGAGCAAATTCAGTTTAAAATGTTTTACCTTACTCTGTTTATTTTTACGCCCAAAGAGTGAAGTGAGGATAAGAGTTGTTGATAGGACCAACATAAAAAATATGCTGTGAGGAGCAGTTGTCCTCATTAAATGATTGAATCAAAAGCAAATGAACAGACAAAATACCCAATTCGACCTCCATTCAATCGCAGGATTTCACATACCGGCAACTTCTGGACGTTGTCGACAAGTACTTCCACATCCGCAGCTGTTCTTAGACGTGGCTCCTTTAACAGAGCATCCCAGAAGATGTCACGAAGGGACTGGATGAGGAACGTCAATAAGAAGTAAATGACACTTTTAATGAGAAAACGCTTGGCAAATGTCTACGCACCTCATGACTACTACTTCCCGAGTCAAATTCGTCGTCCTCATCCTCCTCTTCCTCGTCATCTTCATCTTCTTCATTATCGACTTCACTACCTCCACCGTCGTCATCCTCCGCACCATCGCCGCCGCCACCGTCGAGATCAGAGTCCGAGTCTGCGCCAGCAGCGCAATGGAAGCTGGGGCTACTGCTGTTCGAGGTCGTTGTTATGGTGCGTGCAATTGCTGAGTCGCTCTCCGACAGCGATGATTGTCGTTGTAGAATCTGCTCCTGTTGCTGTTGCAGTTTCTTCACTCCCAATGTCTCACCAGCTGAGGTCTGAGGAAAGAATTAAACTTTAAAGATGATGCATTGGAATGTTGAAATAATCCACGACTAACACTTGTTTCAGCCATTGATAACATCCTTGAAGTAACCTGCAGACGATGAGAAAGCTACCCATGTAAAAAGGCAGTAATCAGTTGCCACAAGGTATAATGACATGCCCTACAGGCAAAAATTACAACTTAATCACTATAATTCGACGTGATCGCGTTGCCGAACTGTTTCAAGTACTTCCATTCATGGTCTTGACGACTAAAGAACGACAGAGGGGGTGTGAGACACGAAAGGAAAATGCATATCAAGTCAGTGATAGTGAAAACATCTGTGAAAAGAACTATAGCAGCAGATGCTCCCACTAATGTTGGAAGTGTAAAAAACTTGTAAGTAATGAAAAGCTGGATGCAGCGATTACAACTAGAAGATACGACAGCTCTTTTAGTGACAGCCATGGTGCAGTTGGATTCGACAGAGCGGTGGATTCTAATAACCACAGCAGCTACTCCAATGACTGAGGTGCATATATCAACGCAAATATAAAGTTGTGCCAGTTGTGCTACAAAGACATTTAAATAAGTTCTTGGCCGTAGGTATCGGATGGCGAACCGCCAATTTGTGTCTCAAAATCTGGCGCCCGTTTATGAGGAATAAAACGAGCAC